GGGGGGGGGGGATTATCTAATGACACGCTCTCTAGGAAGCATAATGGGCAAACAATAAGCACATTAAAATCACTGCAAAATTCACAATTGCCAGTGAAACCATTGTGAACATATGCATTCACATTGCACAGCTCTACTCTCTAATATCAGAAGACCCTAATCCTTGTGTGAATATGATAGGCAGGACAGCCTAAAAATAAATACAGGCATGTTTTATGTTATGCCTGTCATTCAAAGCTGATCTCTGCTCCTTTTAGAAAAAGCAAAACCCAACATTGAAGCATGAGCGAATAAATAACACACTTCCTCTCTCTTTATAGGCTACCTCCCATTTTTAAATTCAAACTGCAATTAGCAGCTCGTTTGATCAGTTGAGAACTTTCACCTTGGCTTTGAGCCTCTGAAAGGGAATGCCATTTTGGAGGAGCTGGCTTTCTGATGGCTTCATTGCAGACGAGATGAAAATGACCTGGATGCCAGCGGAATTTCAAACGCGGCGGACGCATTAGCATACCGAGATAGAAGCACATTAGGTATTCCGCTCAGAGCCTCCCCGAGCTGTTTTTTCCTCTTCTTCATCTTCTCACAAAGCAGCACTAGACCTTTCATGCTAGGAACGTGCCGCTATTACTTATTACCCTCCCATACTTGAGACAAATACCCAATCCATTCCATTTGCTCCAAAACCAGTTAACACGGCAGTGATTTCCAGAAGCATGTGAGATTTAGTTGAGATATCATTATGAAAGCTGGATGGCTTTATTTGCGCTACTGAACATCTTTACAGACACTTTCCCACTAGATGTCTCACACAAAGGCTGTAAAATGCTGCCTTCGCAGGCATCATCAAAGCACGTCTGAATTCAATGTTTGCGTATTATCCTGTCTACTATGATGGTTTATGAAGACAGCGTGTGCCTATGATAATGCATTGGAACCAAGTAAACCAAGTAGCTTCTGTCTGTTAAGGCAGAGTAAGGCATCTGCCTTCTGTTGTGGACACAGTTGAGACACACCAGTGTGAAAGGAAACAAAGGATGGTGTGTTAATAATTAATCTGAGAGGTAAGACATACCAGCTCCGTCGGGCTGGTCCATGATGGCTCTTCTGGCTGGGTTGGAGCTGTATGATGAATACGCGTCGTCATGAGGGATCTGGGTAAGGTCGTGCATGCTGAAGCTCCTAAGCTTCTCTGTGATGGCACCTTGACCCTGTAGAGACAAAACAGCCCCAAGTTAGGATAAACACGTCAGCGCTGACAACACACAGAACAGCTTTAACTGAGCATTACAAGACTGCATGGGCATCCATGATGACATCATTATGACATGCAAGTATGTATGAATGAATGCTGATAAGATCTGGGATCAGTTCAAGTGATCTGTTACCTAGTGAGCTGCCCTGTTGTCAACTGAACAGACAGCACAGATTGATTACTGTGGGAGAAGTGCTTAATACATCACTAGATTATCAATATGGACAATGGTTGGTTGGTGTATTTTTTAAAACACCATGCCAGCTTCCTTGGTTTTATTTTCATGGCAAATGACAACTATTTCATAAAATATGTATAAAAAAAATATATAAAAAAAAGGACTCTGGCATGAAGAGCATATCAGTGGATCTTCATTTGATATTAGGAATTCAGGTGTGATTCTGGAACGTCCTATTCGGCATTGTGTATATATGATCTGATCCCAGTGGTTACTGATAATAATATGCGACTTTTACCCACAGTAGGTTTGATTTCATACTTGAACACTCATTAATTTTGCATTTTGTTGATGATGTAAGATACTATGGTAGATTCAAGATCTGAGAGTGGGAACACCTTCCAATATCTACTGAAAGTCATTTTTTAGCACCAGCCTCTGCTTGTTCATTTCCTGGAATATAAGGACAATGCATAATTTTTGCTACCGAAATTGGAAAAAATAAGTGCTAAAGTGACAACAAGCATAAGTGAAGCATAGATATGCTAGAATATAATTCTGCCTTAAAATGTTGCTTACATATGCAGCGCACTTGGTTTTTGGAACTGAGCTTAACATGAGATAAAAAATAAAAACATTTGGATAGGCACATGTTAGGCCTCATAACATCAATGATTTAAAATGATGTAATAATACTATTAGTGCTTAACACCATGTCAGAGTCAGCACAAATGTAGAAAAACAATGAAAAAATGGAAAAAGGAAAGCATGAGCTAAAAGCTGTTAAAATGATGTTGCTTTTCCACATGCTGTAGACACTCTATAGCATTACCTGCACTGAAGAGAGCAGGGCTGCAGTATTCCTATAGGGTAGTACATGTCAAAAACAAAACAAAACAACATGCCAGAAACAGAGTAAAAGCAAGGAAGAAGAGCTATGATGGGGAAAATTTGGCAGCGTTCAAGAATAAAGATTGACAAGCCTTTTACAAGCTCATTGGCTCCACTTTAGAGACGTCTTTCAATAACGGCATCTTTTCAGAGAGAGCCTAGGCAGGACAGTGGCCAAATGAAAACTGGAGCATTGTTGAGCAGACCTGTGTTCTGCTTCTGATTAGGGTATCAGCATGATTACATTTACTACAGCACTTATACTAATGTCCTTGGGTTGGTTTCACAAAGGAACAGTGACCTTTGCTTGCAAATGAAAGTCATTAGTGTGTCATTTATTACTGGTATTTAAGGTTTGTGCCAGTGCACTTGTAGTCTTTGTTGCACAGCGAATAGGGACAGGAAAAGAGGTTAAGGTGAAGTGTCATTTGCAACCCTTTTACTTTCATAATCTGATGTACACTGCCATTCAAAGGTTTGGAGTTGGTATGATTTTTTTAAAAAGTGTTTTTGAATGAAGTCCCTTATGTAAAAACAGTAATATTAGAAAATAGTATTCCAATTTAAAATAACAAAAGTTTTCTATTTTATCATATGTAATATATGTAAATTATTCCTGTGACACAAAGCTGAATTTTCAGCATCATCACTCCAGTCTTCAGTGTCACATGACTCTTCAGAAATCATTCTGATATGCTGATTTGCTGTTCAAGAAACATTTCTTATCATCATCAACTAACATTTATTATATCAAGTAATTTGAAATGCAAATGTTTATAACACTACAAATGTCTTTACTGTCAGTTTTGATCAATTTAATGCATCCTTTCTGAATAAAAGTAATAATTTCAACAACAATAACAAAAAAAATCTTAATCCAAACTTTCAAAGGGTAGTGTATTCCTAAATGAAACAGAACATTCAAAGAAAAAGATTATTAAAGGGATAGTTCACCTAAAAATGAAAATTTGATGTTTATCTGCTTACCCCCAGGGCATCCAAGATGTAGGTGACTTTGTTTCTTCAGTAGAACACATATGATGATTTTTAACTTTAACCGTTGCAGTCTATCAGTCGTATAATGCATGGCAATGGTAACAAAATCTATGAGAGTAAAAAAAAACATGCACAGAAAAAATCCAAATTAACCCCTGCGGCTCGTGACGACACACTGATGTCCTAAGACACTAAACGATCGGTTTGTGCCAGAAACCGAACCGTATTTATATCATTTTTTACCTCTAATACACCACTATGT